GCTGGTTTACTCTACATGAGGATTTGGCCATCACTATTTTGATGTTACAAACAGAATAGATGCTTAGCCTAACTTGACTTTGGGGCACTGAACTCAGAAGCGTAGCAAGCTCTTTCAGCATCTGGGGTCAGGGGAGGGGGTAGAATTAAGCTGACTGTTGGAGAGCAGGTGGAGGAATGGTGGGGGAGAGAAGTCTTACCTGCTGGGGCTCCCCTCACTTAAGTGGCAGCTGCTAGTGCTACTACCATAGTAGTATGGGCTCAGGCTGCTAGACAGGCAGCAGCAGCATGGGTTCCCCAGGGACATGTTCATTCCCCACCCCAGGGGCAGGGCTGTGCCTCCTATGGCAAAGCCTCCAGGAGAGGCTCATTCCACTCCTTTCCTCCCACCCCAGATGGTCTGAAGGACATGAAGCTGTGTCTGCCCAGCTCCTGTGGCCAGTCTGTGCTTCCTGTGGCAAAGACTTCTGGGGGGAAGGGGCCATACTGGAGACTCCTATAAGTCAGTTCCCAGGGCTAATGCCCTGCTTGCCCTGCCCTGGTTGCACTACTGACTGAGCTTCTGTGGGGATCTGGGGGGCATGTCCCATATCACTATCCCTCTAGCCCTCTCCCATCACTAGAATCACTGCCCTATGGCCCCACTGCTGGAGAACCCTCCTCTATGCTCCTTAGGCAATAACTGTGCACCACCAGGAGCTCCTTATCTCTCACCCTGCCAGAGTCTGCTCCCCCTTTCCATTCTATACCTGCCATTCCTTGATGGAGGGCCTGCACTCTGCCCTCAGTCACATGCAGACCTATATGGACCTTTCATTGCATCTCAGGGACAGGCAGATGCCTGCTGAGAGCAGGGCTAAGTATTTGAAGAATGGATTGTGAGGCTGTACAGAGCTAGGTAGGTCTCTATGTCCAGGTACATGCTGGTGGGGAAAAAAGAGCATCTGGGGGGACTTGAAGCCTGCTCAGGTGCAATGGAGTTTAGGTGACAGCTCTTTGAGATGAGGTTAATGTTGCCTTACAGGACAATTTCTGTGACTTCTAGCGATTGCTTTACAGGCGAGTGCATTTCCTGTCAACTGGCAGAGCAGTCTGCAGAGGAGGGGAATTCTAGCCCAGAAACTGTCTGTGTTGTGGGGAGGGGGGGATGGAAGGGAAGGAGGTTTGGGTAGCCTCTGCCCCAGGAAGACTTATTGCCTTGTGACATATTGCACCCTACCTACTTGTTAGATCTGCTCCTTGTCACCTCATCTTCTCTCCCACTGCAGCATCTCTGCTCATGCCTGTGCTCATTCCTGCTCTTATCCTGTCTTATAATATTTCTATGGTAACTGTGCATGCTTGTTTTCCTGACTTGATTGCATATTGTACACCCAGAAGGACTGAACTTTTACTCTGGACTAGGGAGGGTGCAATACATTGTTTTCTGCAGGCACCTGAGCCATCTGCAAGCTCCCCCCACTTTCTTAGAACTGGGGCCCAGGGGGAGGATCAAAAGAAACTCAGTGTAAGAAACTGGCTAGAAAAAGGGGACATGGCTTGAATATGCACAACTTAGAGACTCAGATCCAATCAGCGAGGCAGTGTGGTCTTCTTGCTGACAATGCCTCATCCATCTGACACAGGGACTCTACCTGTTCTATTGTACCTAGCCAATGAATGGGATCTTGTTTGAGAGAGACTTCCCACTTCATTGCATTGCACTTTTTGGTTCCACTCTTTCCATCCCTTAGTGGGGTAAAGTCCCTGCCAGGAGCTGAGCCAATTGGAGGGCACTGGAGGGGCTCCAGAGACAACAAGAGGTACAGTGACTTAAAGTGTCAACCCCCTCTTCTTCCCTATCCATACAGCTCCATATCCATGCCCACCTCTCTACCTCATCTTCGCACTGTAGCTAAATTCTGAAGTCCTACAAACTGTTGCCAGCACAAGGCAGTAGGGCATCTCAGCGGGTCCTCCTAGTTACAAAGTGGAAACAGAATCCTAGCTTATCTCCTTTCCTTTGCAGAATGGTGCTGATTACAGCTATTTGGTGAAACAGAACATAAAGCTCTTGAGTGCACTGGAGGAGTTACAGCACCGCTGTACCAGCCTGAAGGAGGAAAACAGCCTACTGGTAAGTATGGCACATGACCCTTCCCGAAGTCTTTTTGGAATGCTGTATGTCCTTGGGAACATCAGTGTGTGCACCTAGTGGTGTTTGGCAGAGCCAAGAGAAGCATGCTTTGGAGTGGTCGGGACTAGTGTTTTTGACAGGCTTGCCACAAATTAGCCTGCATCCTTCCCGAGTGCCCCTCCAACTTCTTCCCCCTGTTCAGTCTGCTGCTTTATTTTCTGCTCCCTGCCTCTGTCTCTGCCTGTCAGTGTGCTGCCTGTGCCCATCAGTCTGTAGCATGCCACACACTGAGGCTGCCTATTTCACTTGTGTCACCCATGCTGCAGGGTGGCCACCCCTCCTCTATCTTTCCTAAGGGCGTTGGGAAGCCAGTTGGCATCTGCATGGGGTGTAGGAGTGAAGTCCCCAGATCTACTGGGAAGGGCCAGGCTAAGACATTCAGGAGACATGAAGCAGGTTGGGTACTTTTGGGCTGAGCTTTGTGGACTCCTTGGAGAATTGCATGCTTGTCAAATGGACTCCTTTGCCATAACACCATAACGCTTGTGATGGGGGTCAGGTGAGGGAGGAGTCTGGGTAGTGCTGCCCTCTCTGACATCTCTACAGTCTTTGTACTGCATTACTTGACTGCTGGAGACTGGTGCGACTTCTCTGCAACTGGGCTTGCTGGCAAACTGGAGGGCCAATGGCAGGCTGACAGCGTGAAGGGAGGAAGCGCTCTTGTTTCCTCTTTCAGGCAGGAAAGAGGAAACGTTGATTCATTTACTGACACAGCTAAGAGGAACAGTACAGCAGCTGCCACCATGAGGTAGGCTGGCAGCTGAGGAACATGCTCCTGGCACCTTAATGTGAGTAGCAGGGCCAGAGCCAGGGGAACCTTCACAGCCATGCTTGACCCCTGCAGCCTGGGAACATTAATACCCAAGCACCACAGGGATAATGTAACCCCTCCTCACACTCGGAGCTCTCTGAGTCTTTCATCTTTCAGGCTTGTCCAGGCCTGGTGTCTGCCTGTGGGATGCAGTGTGCAAGAGTTTAGCCAGGCTGCAGAAGAGCTCTGATATTGCACTGTTTGCCCTGTAGTAAAAAATGGCCAAGTTTAGTTTTTCTCAAATGTTTTTCAGAGGCCTAGCCTGGAAGGTACAGCTCATGACCCCATCTGGGCTGTTGATGCAGGTGGTCTGGCTATAGTCAAAGTTCTGCCTCAGCTGGCATGGTTAAAGTATGCCAGCTTGTAGCCAGTGCCACACAAAGAGGTGATGTAGCTGACCTGGATGTAAAGAGGGGATCATAAAATCATACAGTAGGACTGGAAGGGCCATCATGAAGTAATCTAGTCCACGCCCCTGATCAAGGCAGGCTCATCCCTGTCTAAACCAACCCAGCCAAGTCTTTGTCTAACCTGCTCTTGAAAATTTCCAGGGATGGAGATTCCACAACTTCTCTGGGTAGCCTGTTCAAGTGCTTGACCACCCTCACAGTGAAAAAGTTCCTTCTAATCTCCAATCCAGATTACCTCTGCTGCAGCAGAAGCCATTGCTCCTAGTTCTGTCCCCCATGGCCACAGAACAATTCACCTCTATCTTCTTTATAATCAGGCCCTTCAAGTATTTGAAGACTGTTTTCATATCCCCATCAGACTTTTCTTCTCCAGACTAAATAACCCAATAGTGTTCTTTGACTATGGGATGGCATTCTTCCACCATGGGGTGAAGTTCCAAGAAGGTAGACTTCTGGGAAGTAGTGTAGGGTCCACCTGATGAAGAGAGTGAAGAGTGTCTTTGCATACAGGCTTGCTAACCTTATGAGTAGGAATTTAAACTATGTTCATTGGGGGATGGAGAAAAAAGCCCAGAGGCAAGTAAAGAATGAGGAGACATAGATAAAAACTTAAAAAGGAGAAGCAATAGTGGAAGCCTTAGCAATGTGCTCAGGGATAATCAGATTGATATCTGAGTTGTTTATATAACAATGTGAGAAGCATGTGGAATAAACAGGAAGAATTGATGGTCCTAATATAATTGAGGAATTATGATGTAATTGGGATTATAGAGACATGGTGGGATAGTTCATGTGACTAGTGTATGGTCATGGATGGGTATAGCTCAGGGGTTGGCAAAATGGTGGATGCAGCTTTCAGCTGAACTCCATTTCCCAGAAGCCTCTGACTGTGCAGCTGGGGCCGGTTTCCATAGAGACCCCAGCAGCAGTCACCCTGTGATGGGGGCGGGGCAGGGTTTCTGTGGAGACCAGTTCCAGCAGCACTGGCAGAGTGTGTGGCAGGGTGCAGAGCTGCTCCAGAGCCTAACTGGGATCTTGCAGCAGTGACAGTGTAGTCCAGAGCCAGGGTAGAATTGCGACCTGCAGCCTAAGTGCCCTAGAAAGGGATATGCAGGTAGCAGATCATGGCTCTGCTGCGGCTTCTTGCACCAGTGACAGTATGGTCTGGAGCTGGGACAGAGCTGCAATCTGCTGCCTGAAGGTCCCTGCCCAGAGCATGCAGGCTGCGGATCGCAGCTCTGCCCTGGCTCTGGACCACTGGGCTCTGGAGCAGCTTCCTGCCTTGCTGCGTGACCTGCCAGCAGGGGCGGTGCTCAGGGGGTGGGAGGGAGAGGGGGGTTGAGGGGGCTATAGCCGCCCCAAAATTCCCTGTAGCTACCCCTCCCAGTGCTGCCAGTGTCACTGGCCACCCTGCACAGGCAGCAGCAGCTGAGCCCACCCTGCTTTCACCTGCAGCACAGCCCCTCCTTAGCCCCTGACCAGGAAGAGGCTTTACTGCTGCGGCCTGCCAGTGCTTCTGGGGCTAGTTTCTGTGGGAAATCTGGCCCTGCACCATCACAGTGCAGCTGCTGCTGGGGTCCAAGTCATTAGCTGCAGAAGCCAAGAGTACAGAAGCCTAGATACAAGGGTTGCCCAGACACTTTCCTTTTCAGGTCAAGGGTTTATATGGGAAAGGGTAGGAGGTCAGCTGACCTTGGCTGGCCATTCTGGTGGTAGGGAGTGGGTGTGTGCCTAAGCCCAGGTGGAGGATTGGAGCCACCTGTCTCCCTTGGTAGTCTACTGAGGAGGTAGCAGACCAGGGCGAGCCACTGCATTGGAGAGGTGAAGGTCCTGTGTTTAAGGCCACAGCATGACAGAGAGGCAGCTTGGGGGTAGCTCTTCTTGACTTGCTAATCGCAAATAGGGATGACCTGGTTGTAAAGGTGGAAGGTAAGTTGGGTGATAGTGACTACAAAATGATAGAGTCCATGGCCCTCAGAGGAAGAACATCAAAATAAAGACACCAAACTTCAGAAAAGCAGACTACAACAAGCTCAGGGAAGTGGTGGATAGGATCCCTTTGCAAGTCAAGTCTGAGAGGAAAAGGAATTCAGGACAGCTGGCTGTACTTTAAGGAATCTGCATCTAGGCTGCAGAAGCAAGCTATCCTGATGTGATGGAAGAATGGGAAGTGCAACAGGAGGCCAGCCCGGTTAGATAGCAGTCTCTTTAATCAGTTGAAAGTAAAAAAGGAATCCTACAAAAGGTGGGAAATTAGCCATATTGGTAGAGAAGAGTAAAGAAAATATGCATGCAGGGAGAAAATTAGGAAGGCCAAGGCACATTTTGAGAGAAACTGGTATGAGACTTAAAAGGCAATTAAAAGGGATTCTACAAGTATGTCAAGAGTAGGAAGAAAACATAAAAACCCATGGGTCCCATAAAGAATGCAGAAGGCGTTCAAGTTATAGATGATGCAGAGAAGGCTGACATATTTACTGCCCTTTTTACTTCAGTCTTCGTAAATAGGGGCAGCAGCTACCAGATGATGAGCACAGCTGACAGCAAAGAGGAAGGAGACAAACAGCTTAGAGTAGTGGAAGAATAGATTAGAATTACTTAGAGAAGCTAGATGTTTTCAAGTCATCAGAGCTGGATGAGATGCATCCTAGGATACTGAAGGAATTGGCTCAGGTAATTTCTGAGCCTTTAGCAAGCCTCTTTGAGAACTTGTGGAGGTTGCGTGAGGTCCTGGCTGACTGGACGATGGCAAATATGGCATCTGTCTTTATGAAGGGAAGAAGGAGGATCCAGGAAATTACAGACTAGTCCACCTGACCCTGATATCTGGAAAAATCATGGAGCAGGTCCTCAAGAAATCTATTTTAAAGAAAAAAGTGATCAGGAACAACCAGCATGGATTTGCCAAGAGCAGTGGGAGAGCAGTAGATATGATATACCTTGTTTTTAGCTGCTGAATCTATGGAAGGTCAAGCTGAAACACCAGAGGCCAGGTTTGAATGGCCTCTAATGAGGCCCCTTCACAGGGCAACCAGGTACAGGGATTCAACCCCGGCAACTAGACTGTAAGCGTGAGCCTCCACAGACCCAGCTGTAAGTTGGCTCCATTAGCTCACAGGCAAGAGGAGGCTGAAGGGAAAGTTCTTTAAGAGGTGACTGGTGACTAAGCAGGACAAAGAGCCCCCTGTGTCTGTGCAAGCTGTGCAGCTAGGGCAGCTCATCCCGAAGGTGTAGCATGTCCCTCCACTGGCACCATATGTTACCAGGGTCCTGGTTGCATTGCCTGCAGGATCTGCTCTTAGGAGTTGAAAACATTAGCCTGTAGTATAGAGATGGGCAAAATGGCCAATCTGGCCAGTGGCCAGATTCCATTTCCCAGCAGCCCCTGCCTGCATTGAGGTAGCCAGTTTCCATGGAGACCCCAGGAACAGCAGTGCTGTCACAGCTTGGGGCCAGGGTTTCCATGGAGACTGGCCCCAACAGTGCTGACAGGGTGCACAGCTGGGTAGGGAGCTGCTGCAGGCCTGGGATCTTGGAGTGGTGACAGCATGGTCGGGAGCCAGGGCAGAGCTGCGATCTGCTGCCTGCATGCCTCTGTCCAAGGAGTGCAGGCAACGGATCACAGCTCTGTTCTGGCTCCAGACCATGCTGTCATCGCTGCAAGATCCCAGGCCTGGAACAGCTCTTCGCCCAGCTGTGCGCCCTGTCAGCACTGCTGG